AGTCTGAGAACCAGTGAAAGCAGCTCATCGGAGCAATTACCATGAAAGTATTTGTAGAAAAGACAGAGAGAGGCTACGGCGCGTCTGTGAGAGAGTGACTGTAGACGAGACGCCAGATCAAGGCCAATTATATTACATATCCATCTTTGGATCTTGTCAAGAACTCCGAGGTAAACAGAAGGTGCCCCAGACCATATATGGCAGCAATAACGAATGCATCTATCTCGTGTGTGTGTGTTTGTATATATGTGTATGCGTTAGTGTGTTTATAATTTGTCTGTGAATTTTACCATTATGTTCAGTACTGCTGACTGATATCATATTTCCTCAATACTACCACAGTCATACTCCTCACCCCAAACGCTTCAGTCGACGAGTTAATCCTTTCTTTTATTTTCGTCGAATTTAGGTCGGGCTAAATTTAATTTGGCGGTTTTCAATTGATATATTGTTCTAAAAACAAAAATAAAAACATAAAAATTATACTGCACGGAATAAATTAGTGAAAATGGACATTTGAAAAGAATAAGTTGAAATGAAAATGTGTTCTTTGAAAAACAGGGCATACAAGACATTAGAGATTTTGAAAATATTATTTATAAAATTAAAGCAAGAAATACATTGCCTATTAAACATTTCCAGCTCAGATAGGGCTAGGATAGGGATCACTTCTACGTAACCCGACTAGTCACATTAATTTTGTTTTATTCTTTTTTAATTACTTTCTTTCTTTTTTTCCTTGTTCTTTCTTTTTTCTTTATGACCAGCATCAACGAAATGTATATCGGACAATATTTTAAGGTACGGAGTTAAAACAATTCATTTTGCATCCAGCTGAAGTCAAGAATGAAAATGACGCACTACAAACATTTTTTGATGCTTTGAAATAGATATTTTTAAATGTTGACTCACTCGGGCTAATCCCGACAAGCCTGACCAGCAGAATCGCCACTGATATATATATATATATATATATATATATATATATATATATATATATATATGTGTGTGTGTGTGTGTGTGTGTGTGTGTGTGTGTGTGTGTGTAAATGAAGTGACGATATAGTCAATATATTTTCATTTTTTTTTAATTTAGTTGACATATGTGGGTATATAAATGTATTTTAGGGTAAATTACAAAATTGTCATCTACTCGTGGAAAAAGTAACGATATCTGCAGTAGTAAACGATTTTTTAATTTCTAAAAACTTTATTGCTGTCCCAAATATCAACTAAATAAAAATATCAACGTAATAAAAATAAACGAAATATACAAAGAAAACATATCTCTTCACTTTTTATATAGGTATCTCCAAACAACTTCTAAAAAAAGAGCTTACCATGATGAAAGAAAATCCCCGAAACTTGATAAAACCAAAATTTTATCGTCCAAATTTTTATGTTATTTTTAAGAAGAAAAAAAAATATTTTTATATATTTTATTAAATATTGTAATCCTTTCTTGCACGTTTTTGGTTAAAAGTCTTGCTTTTCTTGAGTCAGCGGGTCGCCTAAAGACATTTCAGTCTTTTTTATTGTTAAAACACATTATGTTTGGAAATACTTGCAAAAATAAAATAATTGTCGGAATTTAATAAAATTTGCAGGACTTATTCACAAATGGATGAAAATAGTTTTGATTTTTTTTTAAATTTTAGTAAAAGTATTTCTCTTTTTATTTATATTACTCCCCCCACTTACTTAATTTAATGAAATTTTGAGAAATATAATTTCAGCCTCTTCATATTTATATTAGTTAAAAGCAGGAGTCCTTGGAGAATTTAAATCATTAATTTTTTTTTTGTCAAACAGAAACAAAATTTACCGAAAATCTAATCTGAATCAAAGAATAATAAATGCTGTAAAACTATGATATTATTTAATTAGGAAAATTTTAATTGATTTTAGAAATAAGATACATTAAGGATACTATTCTCTTAAGAAAAAAATTTCGATGAATGATGAATTTTTACAGGAACTGGTTTCACTTTTCAAAAATTTTACTTATAAAATATTGTTAAGTTTTAAATCTTCTAAATGTCTGCATTAATTCCCCCTTTTGAAACGATATTATTTTTAAGCCAAAACTATATTTACTAATCCTAAATGGAAAAAGTTAATACATATAATCAAACACCAATATTTTTAAAGAGCATTTACTTAAATATTTGTATGTATAAAAAAAGAATGTATAAATATAAAAATGTCTTTAAATAATTTTCGGACTTTGTCCATTTCATAATATATATATTAATTATTAGGAGGATTTAATAATTACGCTTAATTAATTCATCGAGTCTGATAGAAACCTCAACAGAATGCACTGGACGGCCGTTTCGTTCTATATTTGGGACTCATCAGCAGTGCGCATCCACTACCGAGAATTGAAACCCTGACAGTTAGGTTGTCAAGCAAACACTACAAACTGTTCTAATGGTACTCGGTGACGAGGAAATTGCAAATCAGACTCAACATAGCTCTGCTCGCTCGCATATTCCGTG